CATAGCATTTGTACACGTTTTCACAGTGGAAGGCACTTTGGGCACTAAAATCAATCCGATTGACTTTAAACTTGGCACACACTTAGACCAGCATCTGAAGTTGTGTGCCGATCATTGACATCATCGTGACGTCATCATGAGTCACGTGACGTCACATTATATGCGATTTTTCTATTGTGACCGTTTTCTAGCAGAATTCGGCTAGATCTGACAGATTGGGCTATATCTAAAGAACTACAGGTCCGATTGGATTGAAAGTTGGTACGTACCTAAACCGGAATGTGTTATAGATGAAAATTTAAGTGACCTCACGATGATGTCATCACGTGACATATGACGTCACAATATAGGTGCATATTTTGAAGGCCTACATCTCTATGACTACAGGTCCGATTGGGTTGAAACTTAGTATGTACCTTAACCGGGATGTGTTATAGATGAAAATTTAAGTGACGTCACGATGACGTCATCACGTGACATGTGACGTCACAATATAGGTGCATATTTTGAAGGCCTATATCTTCATGACTACAGGTCCGATTGGGTTGGAACTTGGTATGTACCTATAAACCGGGATGTGTTATAGATGAAAATTTCAGTGACGTTACGATGACGTCATCACGTGATGTGACGTCGTCACGTGACGTCATATTAAAAATTGCATATTTTGAAGGCCAATATCTACAGAACTACAGGTCTGATTGGGTTGAAACTTGGTATGCACCTAAACTGGGATGTGTTTTAGATGAAAATTTAAGTGACGTCATGATTTAGTCATCACGTGACATGTGACGTCATATCAAATGTGCATATTTTCAAGGCCAATATCTACAGAACTACAGGTCTGATTGGGTTGCAACTTGGCATGTACTTAAACCGGAATTTGTTATAGATGAAAATTTAAGTGACGTCATGATGACATCATCACGTGACATGTGACGTCATACTAAACGTGCATATTTCGAAGGCCAATATCTACAGAACCACTGGTCCGATTGGATTGAAAGTTGGTATGTATCTAGACCAGGATGTGTTATAGATGAAAATTAAAGTGACGTCATGATGACGTCATCATGGGTTACGTGACGTCTCGTTAAAGATTAAAGATTTTTTAAATATGTGCAAAATCACGTGACCCTTTCTTCTAGTTGAAACCGGAAGTGCCTTGTAATTTAAAATTGGTGAAAGATGTGAACTTGCTTTCAACGATGTATGCTCTGGCTAAGTTCTTCTTTACCATAATATTATAGTTATAGATGAAACTTTATGTGACGTCATCATGACGTCATCACGTGATATGTGACGTCATAATTCAAAGCCCTATGAGAATGGAATCACATATTATATGCCACCATTTATTATAAACAGAACGTAGTGCTCAATTGAACAGTTTCTTGCTTGATGGAACATATACTTGAAACTTTACATGTCACATAAAGTTACCAAAACAGCCCTGTGGTTGTCCAAAAACATAAGTCTAGTTTATTATTTTTTTCTTTATCAGCCATTCCCCATAGCATTTGTACACGTTTTTTCAGTGGAAGGCACTTAGGTCACTAAAATCAATCCGATTGACTTAATACTCGGCACACACTTAGACCAGCATCTGAAGTTGTGCCCCGAACATTGACGTCATTATTACATCATCACGAGTCACGTGACGTAACTTTATATGCGATAATTCTATTGTGACCATTTTCTTGCAGAATTCGGCTAGATCTGACAGATTGGGCTATATCTCCAGAACTACAGGTCTGATTCGGTTGAAAGTTGGTATATACCTAGACCGGGATGTCTTATAGATGAAAATTAACTTGACCTCATGATGACGTCATCACGTGACGTCATATTGAATGAGCATATTTTGAAGGCATATATCTGCAGAACTGCAGGTCTGATTGGGTTGAAACTTGGTATGTACCTCAACCGGGATGTGTTATAGATGAACATTTAAGTGATGTCACGATGACGTAATCACGTGACATGTGACGTCATATTAAATGTGGATATTTTAAAGGCCAATATCTACAGAACTACAGGTCTGATTGGGTTGAAACTTGGTATGTACGTATTAGGTTTGATAGGCCATAGATACATGTATATGCACAAAATTTCGATAAATGTGTGACCTCATAATGACGTCATAAAAAGTCCTTCATGACAGTTCTTGATAAAACTGTTGCCGAAACAGCTATTGTCCACAATCACAGGTCTAGTTTGTATTCATTATCATCATGGAAAGTTATATGGTTACTCGCATTACAGTGGTTCTCGCATTACCGGTTACTCGCATTTCAATTTTTGACACCTCCTGATGACATCATGCTTGGTATCATTTTCATTTCTTTTATCAATTCAGTAGCTGTTATTAAGGGAAGAAGCACAATATGAATTGGCAAAGACAGAATAAATTTCAGTCAGCTGCAGTATCAAAAACTTGATATATTTGTTACTCGCATTACATACCCAAACCAATGCAACAAAATTGCATCCACACTGCTATACAAGGAGCCATGATCCAAAATTTGTAAATGTTTTGAGAAGATCTGAAGTCCAAGTATCAAACTAAAATATAGTCTTAATAAGGCTAGTTCTGGCTGATTTTTTTCCAGCCAATGAGCACCTTCAGTAATCTGATTTTTTTTCACAGAAAATGATGAAGGATTGGCAAAAAAAGTTTATATCCTGATCCTTACATGTGTTAGCAATAACTTAAAAGTAAAAAACAAGCTCAGGAATGAATTTCATTTTTTGGGGTCATGTCTCTGTTTGCTTGGAATCGCCCACAGGTTTAATGTAAGATTGGCCAGTGGCAATCCCTCAACGGAAAGCTTTACTTTAGGAACAAATATAGGATAATTCATGCATTTCATTTACTGCTTCCCAACACTTAAAAATGAAATGTCTGTCCCTGTTATGAACGTTTAATCTTGAAGATAATCCTCTGTAATTTCTGGAATCCTGAGCAATTTATCAAACTTGCTAGTGGACAATGTTCTTACTAGGACATGGGATGTAGAAAGAGGAAAAAAACATGACAGATTACTTCATGTATCGACTTCTGTCTATGGTTCCCTCTAAATGTGACACTTTAGTTACCGTTTGTGTGGAAAGACCCCTAGGCCTACATGTATATCAGTTTTATACAATATATTTTACTCATTTACATGTATATCTATGCCCCGACTGTCTGTGATATTTAGTGATATTAGTACATTAATAATGTTCTTAATATATTAAATTGTCAGTTATGTGCTCATCTATGAAAGTCTTATTGACTTCAGTGGTGTGTTCAATATAAACTATGTCAAAGCGATTAACATGGGCAAAAAAGGCATTCATTTCACAATAATACTCACTGTCCACTGTGCGTGCAGTGCAGATTTAGTTTTTTGGGCGGGTTTTTTTTTTTCATGCTAGATACCCACATCCTATACAAAATATCCCCAAAATGACCCAATGCATCACCTCTGAAGTGGGCGCAATCATATTCCAAAATTTTGATTTTCATCCCCATTATCCCCCCCCCCCCCCCCCATTTAAGGACCCATATCTTGAGATTGAAATTTATTTGGAAGCTGGATTTGGATACATGGGTACAACTACTGTAGTAGAGCAGGAATATAGGAAATAATAACCATCATGCCCCACACCTTAATTTTAGGGGGGTCAAAAATGATTCCGTCATAATGCATCGCATGCATTTTTTTCAAATTTTGAAGGCCCCTAATCTTGAAACTTTGCATTAACTTTTCTTTATTTCAATTTAAGTGTAATCTCTGACTACTAATATTGACATTTATGTGAAAGAAAGAGCAATTGTAGATGTCTTCCCTGATCTGGGTGACCCCCAATATGGCCCCAGCCAGAAATCCGCCTTAAAATTGGTCCAAAACAAGGGGGGGAATCCCCATGTGCCTCAGGTGATATAATTTTCTAGGGTTTTTTTTTAAGGAAAGAGTGCATCTTCAATTATTGTGTATCTGGCATTTTCATGAAAAATCAAAGTTGCAAACACACCCCCAAAATGGGCGACAATGTGTGTTAGACACACATTGTGCAGGCAATTTCGACTGACCCCAATTCAGTTCAGTAGCATAAATGCAACTCTGTTTTTGGCTTATGTGTATCTCAGTATGCCTCTCTACCTAAGGTAGGTCCAACAACTACATGTACATCCACACATTTTGTCCAAATTAATGTTGGGGGCCTTTAATACACCCCCTTGTGTTGTGTGCTATCTCATATGGTACATGTATCTCTTACAATTTACCCTTTTTTCCATAAAAGTTTGAGACTGTGATTTGACGTTGCTTTTGTGTGATAAACATAACAATCATGACAATATCAAACAATTTTCAGTCCAAAAGTCAAAACAAGTTGTAAATTTCTAACAATTTTGTTCAACAAATTTACTTCATGTTTTTCAAAATCCCCCTCTGTGTGTCCCTCTCGCGAGTAGTCGTAAACAACTCCTTTTATGGAGATTTTTTTATAACAGTAGTTGTCTGGTGATTAATTGATCCGCTTCTAAAACTAAAATACTTAAGATTTTAAGGGCAAAACTTCAAGGCTTTAAAAGCTGACAAATAACAAGGGGTGCATTAAAGCCCCCCCCCCCCATCCTCCCCACTACAATTTACAAAATAGGTTCATAAATAGTTTGGAAGGAGATGATTCCTTAACAAAACACTACACTGGATTTCCGAGCCACTCCCTGCTATTGGCCATGTTGTCTTGTTTGAACCCAGGATATACAGGTAATTGTGAAAATGTTATAACAGTAGCAGAGAGAATACATGTAGAAAGGGCAATTAAAAAGGTCAAGAAGTTTCGTATTTTTGACAGTCCTATTCCTCTTACTATGCATGGCTCCATCAACCAGATTTGAACAGTGTGCTGTCTATTGACAAATAGCCTTAATCCAGTATTCTCAATGTCTAGTCATGTACAGTATAAACTACATGTATGCACTCCAAGAAAGAACAGTCTCACTGATATTAAATTTAAATACATGTCCATTGTTCAATTTATTTCAAATGTGCCCAGCATTTTCTTGATTTTATTAAAGTGTTTTTGCTTTATTTTACATTCAGGCACTGTAATGCCTGTGGAATAAATATGAAATAAAAAAATAAATGTTAATGTGCTTGGCCTGTTGACTTATTTTCATAACTGTGTATTTTGATGTTAGCCCTTAAATGACCCTTGCAAAACTTGCCACAAAATATTTGTTCACTCAAAGAGGTCAAGATAAGGATGTACAACCTCTCACTTTAAGTTTCAATAAATGCATACAACTGAGTTATACAAGTACACCTTTTTGTTTCTGATAATTTGATAGGGGTCTACATTGACACTATTTGACGAAAGTTTGATCCCAAAACCAGTGTGCGATACCAGTTGATCACTTATGCCTAATGTCTTATGATTACAAACTACATGTACATGTATCAATAGGAATGCCTCTTAAAACTATGAATCCTAATATTCACAATGCAAAATATAACAAAAAGAACCATATCAGCCAATGCTGTAGCCACTTAGATGTAGAAGCCAAATATACTTCTGATTTAGTTCTGAAATTTCTATAATATAGGATATTCCAAAGTGTTAATTCCAAAGTGTTAATTCAAAAGGTGTTCGTTGAATGATTAAACCTTTGTGTGTGTAAACAACAAAGTCGCACTATTCTGCTCCAGTTAATGCCAGCTGACCCTGCACTGGAGACTCTCCCAATGCTTATCTGGAGTGGGATCAATGATTGTAGGCTCATTTCCATTTCTAACAATCTGTTGGATTCTAAAATGGAAATAACAAAGAAATGGGAAAAATCAACAATTTGTATTGTCAGAGTAATGTAAAATGTGTTACGGGTTTTAGCCCTCACAATCGCACATCTAGTTGATTGTTAGTTGGCACCATGTGAGTTATCGTACCGGTTCACATGTACGGTAGTCATCATATTTCTTGTTATACCTCTGTCTTGAACACTGCATTTTCATTGGCCCAGAACGATCACGCGTTAAGTTTATAAAAGGTCATGGCACACTCCCTGTGGGATATCACGTACGTGATGTGTGCTATGACTTTGTACGTACGGTACGTATGGTGTGAAATGCTTGTATCGTTGGTACCCATGCTATTTTCACCATGTTTTCACACATGAGTGGGAGCAGCAAACTAGCAGACGATCAGCTGTTTCGAGCACGCGACATGCATATGAGTTGACATTCAATTACCATGATTGTTGTGTTTACTGCTATTTGTTTGCGATTTTTACATCAAAATCCAACGAATCCAAGACAGAGGTTCGCCTCGGGTGCTATGCGCCCCTCGGGTGTTCAAAACGTCATATCCCACATCACAGCAGTCAACAATTGTTAAATGTAAACGAGATTGCTCTTGTCATCTTCATATTTCACCCCACGATTTCTCTCAAAAATAAAAACCATGCCCTCTCTCTCAGTGATTTAACCCCATGCGCACGGGAAGCGGTCATGGTCATGGCCGCGGCCGCTAATCCTCATTGGAATGCAGTTGCCAGCTGTGGTATGCCATGGCACATGGCTAGTGGGTAGTTCCACAGCTGCTGCTTTTGTGCAGTCCCGCTACCACACAAAGGCTGTGCAGTCATGCGGGCCACTTGCTCTATGTGTGGAGGAATGTCCCTATTATAACCCGTCCTTAAGGCCGTTTTTTTTTAATTACTTGGATTACGGAATTTTTGGGTCCCCATTTCCGGCGGCGAGCGGGAAATGAAAAAAAAAAAAAAAAAAAAAAAAAAATGGGGGCGCCCTATCATCCAACATGGCGGCGCCCATAGAGACATGAAGAAACAAAAACGGGCACGAGAATGAACAGTCACTGCATTTTCAAAACCACGGTTTCAAAGAAATAGTGACCATGGAGTGACCAACGGCCCTTTCCTTTCTTTATTTCTTCAAACCTGTGCAATAATTGGTACTGGCGTATATTTTATGAGTTTTGTAATGCTCTGTGTACAAAGAATGGCAGCTATTCATTTGAATCATTGTTTGTTGATGGCCGAATAAATAATAATAACTATGTGCACGATGTGTGTACGTACAAAATAAACATTAAAACGGCCGTCTGACCTCCCCATACTTGTATACAAAAATGCTATTAGTACGTTTACGCTGGAAGTACATGCACACATTATCATAAAATTAAACCGCGTGTTCTTCTTCCTTCACAACGCACGCTCATGTACAATAAACCGGTGAGAATAAACTCTTTCTCTGACTCACTCGTTCTGTTCTGTGGACGCCGCAGATACCCTTTTGATATCTTTGTCCGACGGACTTATCCCCGTCCTACATATGACGTCACGTATGACTTCCGAAGGGGAACACTTAATCAACCTTCTTGTAGTAGTTCTGGACCCTTCACGCACCCTCACGAGAAGACAAACGGATCTCCCGGTGTGGTCGGCCATTGTTGCAGTACGACCTAACACAGTGCATGCATTGCACACTGCATGCATTGACAGCGCGCGGCCTGGCCATGCACAATATATACGGCCACGTGTGGTCTGTGCACGGACTCACCATGTGCACCATACATGGCTGCGCGCGGCCCGCACGGCACAGTCTGTAGTCGTCGCCAGTCTAAGTCATGTCGTTCGATCAAACCAGTACTAATACTATGGTTTACAGGCCTGGACAGCGCGCAATATAGAGTTTTTTGTACAATAGGCACTTTTTTTTTTTTTTTTTTTTTTTTTTGGGGTAGTCAGAATCGACAATTTCCGGCGGCGATTTTTTAAATTTTTTTCAAAATTCCGATTTTTTCCGGCGGCGATTCCGTAATCCAAGTAATTAAAAAAAAACGGCCTAAGGGGTTAATACAATGACCTGAAGCCAGCTATGTGAGTGCTATTACATAAAAGAAGGTTTTCATTTTTTTCAATGTTAACAACATTGGAATGGGGTGCTACAAGTCAATTTCACAATCACTGATATAACTTTATAAGTGCTGTCAGCTGTGGCGGACCCAAGGGGTGTGGAGGGGGCGCCGCGCCCCCCAGTAGTGACCAACATTTTCTCAAATACGGCTTTTTTCACTTGAGAGCAATTGTCCCTGCCCCCCCCCCCCCCCCATAACAGCCTCAAACACCCCCCCTCCCCTTTCCCGGTAGTAACCTCTCTGTCCACCCTTGGTCATTGATTACATACTGGGAACACACTCCCCCTCCCTCCCCTGCAATGCCCACATGCTTGCCAACAACATAGGCAGCACCAGACACTAGTTTAATTAGCTTTGAACAATGTAAAAAATATTTGTCTGCATACATACCTCTCTATCATCTGCGCCTTGGTTTTTAATTGAAGCCCTTGCAAGAATCTCCACGACATTTAAGCCAAAACCTTTAGCTCTTCACATTTTAGTTTTAGAAGGACAGGCACACAAACATCCCGTTTTCCTCCTGGAATGTCATCTTGTCAGATAAGCTATTGTGTAATGAATAAAAAAAATCCATTCATGTAATTTTCAAAAACTGTTTTAAAATGACAATGATGTCAAGTAAAGTTTCTCACATGGATTTTTCTATATCAATGCACCACTCTTAGCTAATTTCTTCAATCGTTAAAGATGTAAACATACTAGAGGTACATGTAGAGCCTCCATTTAATCACATCTGCAAACCTGGAATCTAATTGCAGATGGCACTGTCTTCTTTCCAATATTCTACCAGTCTATCAAAAACAGCTGAGCAACCTAAACTCATAAAACTACGAAACAGCAATAATATTTCAGAATAATTTGAGGAGCCACAAAAATTGGTCTAGTTTCTGAACTTTGGCCTACAGTGACCACGCGTAATCTTCAGGTTCCCTGAGTATGCCGACATGGCCAATATACTACACAAAATAGTGCGTCGAAGAACAAAAAATTGGTCAACAATATTGGTATATTCTTTAATAGCATGGCAGTGACATACTCGTAGATTTATGCTATCAACTATGGATTTATTACATGCCACCACCACTAAAAATTCGCAAGATTTACAGAAAGGCAAACGTCTTATATGAGAGGACCGACCTACCTGCCTGTTGTAACGAATAGCGCATGCAGAATGTGTGCCACCGAGAGCCTCGGTTTCAATGCGGAAAACTGTAATTTCTTCTCATTGTCTTCTCTCTAAGTTGGTGTGATGTTTCCCCTGGGATGCTTTACCAACTATAATATACAGATACAGATACAGAACTGCGCAGAAGGTGCTCATTCGAAATTCCTCTATACGTTATTTTCTGTGAATGAGGATGGCTTTCCAATGCATTTCCAGGGTTTTTTTCCCAGTGTGCATACACAATAAAGAACAGATGTGATAACGTTCCCAAAAATATCCCCTCCTGCTTGCAAATTATTGTTTAACTTGATCCTACAGTACAAGATCCAATGTGCTGTCCACTGCTATGCTCATGGCATGTGACTGCTCCATCTCCAAATGTCTTCATCCACCATTTGTATCTTCATCCACCATTTGTGTCTTCATCAGCCATTTGTGACAATGACCATGCACGACCCACACGTACCGGTATACAACCTCAGCATCAGTGTCACAAAGAATACCGTCATAACTGTACATGTGCAGTCATGCAAGGATCCTGTGGCACATATTCAGAAAAAGCATTTTTATATTTAAACGACTTCCCAAAAATAACATACACGTTTGTACACGTATGTAGGTTACACATGTGGATCGTTCACTCTTTGACAATGTACATGTACATGAACTTACGGTACAATACAGTACATGCATGGTCTCTGTGCACAAACAGTAGATGGTGCTTTACGATCACTCTCAACAGCCCCAGTCAGAGGGACACACTGCGTGCATACATTGTACATGAATACGTATTTCATTTGTACATAGCAAGCGAGAAAGTAAATGTATACATGTATACGTGTATGTACATGTAGGACTACTTTTATTCCGAATGTGCACGCGTGAGTGTCCAATACTCTAGGCAATGCATTTGAATGTCCCTCTTAGTGTCCCTCTTGCGTGGTTCTATTGTCTGCCAAATGCCACATTTTTGTTGACAGTCTGATTTAAGTGAGGAATAGCAGCTTTAATTTCCATCATCAAAATCTGTCCAGTACCGGTATCCGCTGGTCAGCTACCTCTAAACATTTTAAGTTAACGATGTTCTTAAAGGTAGAGTACATCATTTGCAGCAGTTTGTTATTAATAAGGCGAAGCTGAGAATGAGTTCGCGCAAGCGTTGACATGATGCACAGGCGCACAGTTGCTTCTATTCCTAAGTTCAATGCGTGACATCGCGTACACAATGTAGCTGCAACTGACTGAATGAGAACGTGTCCCAGACGCTGATTTCGGAAGCAATTCAAAACATGACTCGGCAACTTTTGAATTGAAATCAAGACCCTAGAATATTGTTTTCTCGGAACGTTTAGCATTCACAGAGTTGAAACTTCATCATATTAGTTGTTAAGCACCCTTCTTTAGATTTTGAGCACTTTTGTTGCTTCAAATTTAAAAAAAAAAAATGCACAAATGACAAATGATGTACTCTACCTTTAATGTTTAAAAGAATTAAGGCAAGCAAATCCCAATCAGTGTCCCATTTAATTTCCACTGTTGCAGCAATGTAGGCTCGCACAAGGAAAGCTTGATCAGCATTTTTTGAATATTCAAATATCTAATCAAATCCAAGTCTGAATATTCAAATACTAAATTATTTTAAAGTGCACAGCCCCTATGCATATACATGTGTTATGCACGATGAAATTTTGTCAGGATTTTGTAAAGTATTATTTCCTTCTTCCTTATTGCATTTACATGTAAGGGAAACTAACCACCAGGATGTGATTGCAATCAGCGTTTAATCTTTACAGACTCATAAACGTGTCTTGTTTTATCCGAGGTCACATCTTAAAAATTACAACTACATGTACATGTAAGCCAGTGATAATGGCTGGGAATTCATACATTGATAATTAATAGCCATATTGGAATTCCATAAGGCATCATGATACAATAAAAAAAAACTATGCTATTTGGCTTTGATTGAATAAAGGTAAGACAGAAAACTATTTCAGGCACCAGACATGCCAGAGGTATGAAGTATGCTTAATGCATACATGTACCTTATGATCAACAGCTCATTGCACTTCAACAATCCCAACATTCAAGCCAGGCATATCATCTGCTGACACCAAGACCTTTTCTCAGTATATTAATTCTCAAAAGTATCATGCCAGCAATCAGTGGGGATTCTAGGAAAGTACTGCAGACCTCATAGGGGATGCTGGGTTCTATGACTGAGTGTGCATCCAGAATATTCAGTGCTGACTATACACACATACCAGCCATAGAGTCACAAAAATACCTAGGGTTAGTGTAGTAAAAAAATAAATAACAGCGTTGCTGTTGAAACCCCTCAGCCAGAGTCAAGTTACATGTATCATCCGGAAACCATTAACCTTTAATGCAAACCTTGACCTTTGACCCCAGAACCTATCCCAACATGCCTGTACCAAGAGGCAACCCCTACCTAAGTTAGACACCAAAATCTCATTTCCAACTCAAGTTATCATCCGGAAACCATTTACCTTTAACTCACCACGGTGACCTTGACCTTTGACCTTTCGACCCCCAAACCAATCCCAACTTGCCTGTACCCAAGGGCACAAGGGCAGATCCAGAACACAATTTTCGGGGGGGCCAAAAAAAAATTGTGGTCCCCCCCAAAAAGTGGGTCAAAAAATTACGGCGTGGGGTTCGGGGCCCGCTTAAGGGCCCCGAAAATTTTTTGGATTCTAGATGCTCTGTGGTGCGATCTGAGGCAATTTCTGACCACTTTAACCAATGGTTTTTTTGAGGAAAAGATGGTGGTGTACTCATTGCCTGCCTTTATTGCGATGTCACATAAAAAAAAAAAAATTGTTTTCGTTTTGGGGGGGGGGGGGGCCATGGCCCCCTTTGGCCCCCCCCCTGGATCCGCCCTTGCAAGGGCAACCCCCAACCAAAGTTAGACACCAAAATCTCATTTCTAAGTCAAGTTATCATCCAGAAACTAAGCTGCCCGGACGGACAACCGGGCGGATGAGACAACCGCGGTGATGGCATTGTACATGTAGTCCTTTTATCCCTTTTTCTAAAGATTTCACATCCGGGGTGATGTTTTTCTATAGATTTCACATTGTGAGGTGATGTCCATTAAAGAAAATCACCCCACATGTGAGGTATGGTCAGGGCGGACGGACGCCCTAGGCGATGACAATACCCCTCGAGCCTCTCGGCTGAGGGGTAAAAACGATTGACAAATTTTCCCACACGTTTTGTTTTGCATGTGGTTTTTGGATAGGGCTGAAACGATATACAATGTATTGATATATATATCCGTATCGCGATATTTTTATAAGACATCGGTATGATATATCGATATGAATGTTAAAATAACAATACAAAACGATACACACAACGCGCCAGGATTCAAGGAAAAGAAGTACCACGTACTTTCGTGTATGCGTCATGTTTATACCCAGATGTCAACTGAGGGCGTCTGTCAATTTTCACTGCACTGATAGATGGGTACTGATCTTGGGTACATTCAATTTGCATGCTATAGTAAAGGGGAACTAGGCCGTTTTCCGGACATCAGAACATGATCGATAAAATACATCTTAGTTCTTAAATAGGCTTGGGCGAATCCACCCCTGAATCGAACAGAATCAACTCTGAATTCGGAATCGCGATTCCACTTTTTTGAGGAATCGATTCCCTGATGTAGCCGATTCCAGTCTTCACGGGACGATTTTGTAGACCGGCCAACTCAAACGCCCTTCAAAGAACATCTGATTCTTTAACAAAACAGGCCCTTTACAGTTTTAAAAGTATGCAGTGTGTCAACGACAAACTGATAGTACAACTCTCTGATGAAGCCGTCCTCTAACAACAAGCTCCACGGCATATTAAATATCACAAAGTGAGCTATTTTATTTGTGTAACACAAAGGCAGCCAGCACCGCCACGTCGGAACGGCATTTTTTGTTGATGTGGCCTGCCTGCTGCTACACATTTTCTCACGAAATATTTTTTTCTTTGACGTAACATTTCACTTGTCTGTGCAAATCAGGTTTCCTATCATCACAGGAATTTTTCACAGCGACTGGAAACGGTATGCAGCTCACAAAAATTTGAAAAGGTTTTTGTAAAATCCATTTAAAAAAATGAGTTTGTCTCGGATTATTTTAATTGTCCTTCCCCATCAAAAACCAATACAGTCCTACACTTACGTTGTTCTGAAACAACCGGCAAGTGAATATGAATCGCCAGCATTTTTGAAAAAAAAATCCCTGGATTAAATATGGGAAATATGAACAGCAAAGTTCCACATGCACACGAGGTGAAAAATCTTTCCCATAAAAGCATTTCATACCTAAAACCGCTGTAAAAAAAAAACACCAGACGAGCGTAAGCGAGGGGAAAATATTTGGCACACATGTACGTGTTTTGACAATCCAGCTATATTTCTCATCAATGCATCTCAGGAAATTTCCTTTGTAGATGAGCACGTGCTGAGGGCCCGTGTATACTGTCATTTGATCAGCAAGTTGGTCTCGTTTTCCTCTTTCCACGACCCCATCACGTGATGTTTTATGTGCACATCATGCCGCAAGGGGCGTGGTTTGATTTTATACATTTTGATTGTGCGATCGCAATTCACGAATGATGCTATGACCGACACAATCTTGTAAAATAGTCAGACTGGTCACTGGTGGATCAGCAAAAGATCGGGACAAATTAATTAAAATATTCAAAATATTCCTGTAAATTTCGTAGGTACATGTATGTATAGAGATTCATTGACAAGTCCCAACTTCTGAAGCTACATTCAAAAGTCCAAGAGCGGTAAAGTCAAGTCGCATCGACATCAAATGTTTCCAGGGTCCGTACACGAATGAGAGCTGCGTAGTAGAAAATCATGTTTTTATGAATGACATGAAGTGGCTGGTACTTGGCGATCGATCGCTAATGTACTGGTAAATCGTTTACCAGTGACCCATGCCGTGATTACGTGACCATCAAAAATGAAATCATGTGGAGAAGTCCTATGTATTCCGATATGATTATTATGCTGCCAAATAAAATTTTGATCATACATAACAAAATATGGAACTAAGAGAAAACAACATTATGTTAAGCGACCATTCCTATGGAAAATGCCAGTTTTTCAAGGTGCTTTCCGCACTATTTTCAACTGTTTTGGTTGATAGAGCCGAACTTAGGTGAGCTCTGATTTTAATCGTCTTGCATGTTTTGCGCAGGGGAAACAAATTGGAAAGGTGTTGAACATTTATTTTATTGTGTTCCCTGCCAAAAAACGTGACTTTCGTTTATATTTAAATGACCATCTATAAGAGAGCGATTACACTCCTTAATGACCTCGCTATTAGCAGTTTTGTTTTTAACAGTGCGTGAAATTAGACAAAAAAAGTGGTCAGACAAAATGTCCGAGCACAATCAAAAGTGTTCTGCCATTGTCAAGTTTTGATCTGCCATTTAGCGTTCCAAATTTGATTCACACGCTCGTTTCTGTAGTAAGCCACGTTGTGAGAATTTAGTAACAATCACGCACTTAAAGCATACCGCACAACACAACGTACTTTGATCTTGCTAAATTCTCATTACATGTATGCGCGTCAATGTCCTTATAATACTCTATATTTCGACTCGTCACTATACAGACTCGATTCAAGTCTGCAGAACACATAACTTAAACTGGGTGAAATTGCAGTTCTGAATGTCCAAAGAGGCTCGATCGAATCATTATAGCAAGGAATAGAGGTTGAATCAGGTCCAATTTAACACTTTTGCCCAATAGAAATTAACTGGGAATTCCACAAACGGCCACTGCTCATTTCCATAAAATGACTTGAAAAGTACAAAAAGTTGTATTAACTGATTTGTAGAAGAAACACGAAGACTGCTGATCGAAACACAATTTATCGACTTGATTTCACGTCTATTTTTTGGCAAACGGCACATACGTACGAATGCCAATCTATCGCTGTGCACGCCGCGCTGTACTAGACTGTGTAATGATTGGGGTGTAAACGCGTTGCATCTATTGCGTGAATATAAGACAACACGTACATGTAGTTAGCAGCCGCTCAGCGTACGGTAAGTATTACAGACCGGATCATCGGAAATAAACAACAAAATACTTTTGAGTGCAAGCGTTTATTTCATACTTCTAAAAAAGACAACTCCACAAAGAATACATAAATCGCTCGGACATTTTGTCCGAGCACATCTGCATTTGGTCGGACAAACCATGAAAGTGGTCGGAAAATGTCCGATGTCCGACTGTAATTTCACGCACTGTTTTAATGTTTTTGTTTATTTTGTTGGGTTTTTCTAATGATTGATTTTTTTTATTTATTTTTTTATTTTTTTATTTATTTATTTTGAATTTTTTTTTTATATTATTTTTTTTGCAAAAATTATGGAATCGATTCCGAATGGAATTGCCATTCCCAGAGACCCAGACAGAATCGGAATCGATTCCAAAAATGCTGGATTCGCCCAAGCCTTTTCTTAAGTGATTGCTGCTTTTACAAATAGGCTTATATACAAATTACGTTACAGGTTAGTTTCCCGTCCATAAAATGATCACCGTTCTATGTATCAATTCTTTAAATGCAAATAAACAAATTGGTGAGGGGATTTTTAGTGGTACGTGTCCGTCATGAGACAATTTTGTCATGCCGTTACGTGCCCGTCGTGAATTGAAGTGGGACGTGGGTTCATTCCTTGCACGGCCCCAGTTTCAAAGTTGTGGGTATGAAAAAAATGGTGACAATTTTGCTTTAAAAATAATTTTCTATTTTTTGGGACTGGTTTGCACATGTTTAATTAGAGAACAGTAACAATATTTTGGACTCGGGTTTTGTTTTCCTTTTTTGTTTCTGCTTTTGGAGTTTGGAATTGTAAAGTAATGTTAGTCCAGTGTAATCGTCACTCATTTTTCCCGCTATATTTTGCTTTTCCGCTTGAAAGTGGAAAAGCATTGTTTCTGTTCTCATTTTTGGCTTTTCCGCAAATTGCGGAAAAGCCTTTCTTTTTGTTCTGATATTTCTTTCTTTTTCTTCTTCTTTTTTCCCCCTGGCAAATCCCATAGACTTTGTACACGTCTTTTCTCAACACCACTTTTGCACATCTGAAGTGACGTCATCATGACGTTATCATCTGATTTTTTTGAATTTTTTAAATTTTAATATTTTCTTCAAATTTTGCAAAAATTATATAAAATACGGTCCGATCGACTTCAAACCTGGCACACACTTATACAACCATCTGAAGATGTATGCCGAATCATGACGTCATCGTGACGTCATCACGTGTCACATGACGTCATCCTAAAAGTGCATACTTTAAGGCCCTATATCTACAGAACCGGAAGTC